GCTTTATTTTCCTTCTCTTCGCCCATATAGCTCCTCACGCACTGGAGCCCGGATGCTGTTAGTCATTCGTCACACTCGACCATGACTGCGTGCGTGGAGCTGCTGGCAGTGCTTCAGATGGGCGGGGTTAACTGTATTGTGGTGTTCGGTCCCGACCACACTGGAAGTTTGTCGAAATTGATCTGGCGGCCGACATTGGCTACGTCACCTGAGTCGTTCGCCATGTGGCGGAGAAACTGGGTCTTGGTTGGTCCCTTTGTCGATGATGACTCCGGGGAACGACATTGACTGGCGTGGTGGTCTACGACCTTAGCCGTGCTGCGACGTTTCAGACAAAGCAGTTCGATTTTTCTTTTGTGGACAGAGCAGGCAGTCTCGCAGTAGTCGAAGTTTCCTGCAGTGATGCGTTGTAGAGTCCCATTTTATTGGTGATTTTCCTGGCGGGTGGTTTTGGCTGGATTGACATGGTGGTACGTTGATCCCGTAATGCTTCCCTTTGTCTCGCCCCATTTTGAAAGACAGAGCAGGGACTGGTGGATACGGCAACGCAACGTCTAGCACCATACGTGGCAATCTGTGCATTTCGCAGTGGGTCTAGAGATGAGTGGGTGCCCTACTCGATTCCGGCATCAGCGTAGGGTGAAGTTCTCGCGCTTACCTGTGACTTGGCTGGGGCTTTTGCAGAAATTTCGCTGTTGGTCTATTTAACGTAAGCAATCCATGAAGCCTCGCTGCGCACAGGCGGGAGAACATCGTCGGATGCCGTTGCAACAGAATACGTGAGCTGCGCATGAAGGTGTTCGAGGAAGTTGATCTCTGACTTCTCACATGCCTTCGTGTAATCGGATTCTTCTCTGAGCAAGTCATTAGGGCTCTTACGCTCGGTCAATGAATGCATTGCACACAGATCACAGATCAGCGTCCGTCTCGTCAGATAAAGTGTTGGGGGAATCTCACGAACTATGTGACAGAACGTCCACTGAGATATGGGCTGTGCATCCAAGTGCTCAAGTGATGGTGAGCATGGGTACAGCTTTCCTGATCGATATAGATGCCAAAAGCTCTCTACCATGTGCATGGGTGTTTTGCCACCGGTACTCAGGCAGAGCCACAGCGTGGCTTTAGTCCACTTTCTTCACCAGACCCATCTGTAGAGATGTCTGAAGGCAAGCAATAGCACGCAGTTGCAGCCTCGCCTGAACTCCGTCCTCGGGGAATATCGAGCTGGACTCACTCGAGTCGCAGGGAATCCGGCCGACAGCGGCAGTCATGGCTGCATTCCATTCTGCTCAGCACTGCTGCCTGACGTCTTCGTACCTGTGCCATGCCACGGCACCATCCCGAAAGTGGTACTGAGCCACACTCAAACTCTGCTGCTCGGTCCAAGCATTGCGAGCTGCGCAAGCATTCACAGTCACCACCCACTCATCAGCGTTATTATCGATGTCGCGGATCTCTTGTATTTCGCAGGTGACTGGCGATGGCGCGATGGTGCGATAACCGGCAAAAATCCAGAGATCGCTAAGGCGAAGCAGACCAGCTGGTCCGAGAGCTGCATGAGGGCGCCGCGGAGCGACATCCCGGCCGTAGACTAGCGTGTTCCGCGGTCCTTCAGGCGCGACACTTCGATCGCCCTGGCGTTTTCTACGTAGATGTCTCGGGACACTTCACGGCCGCCGTGATTACGGGGGGGGGGGGGGGGACAAGTCGATGGACTCTACTTTACAGCCAACACTGTGACGTAAGCTGAGGAGGTTGCCATTGCTTTGGCCGCCTCGCATCCCACCTCACACACCATCCTGACGGACTCGTGCTCGGCCTGTTCGCAATACCTTCAGGGTTCCATCGCCCCACTGGCAGCTCAACAACTTCGGCCAGCCTCTTGGCACTTTAACCCTTAACCCATTCGTATAGTATGGACCCTGGGTCACTGGGATTTGCCCGCCAACGAGGCGGTTAACGCCGCTGCCCGTGCTTCTCTCATCCGAGCCGTTGCCTTCTATGTCCCGAGTCGGAATCTGGCAAAACGAACCTGAGGCGCTTTCGCGAAATTATTGCCTATTACCGGGCTTCGCGTCGCCTCTACCCGGACCCCGTACGTGGTTTGGAGAAAGCGGACGAGTGAATACTACGCCACCTCCAGACGAACACCTATCTCAGTCTGGTGGTCGCCAGGCATTTTTTTCCGGAAATCAGTTCCACCTGCTCGGCCTGCCAGGTCCTGGCTGACACCTACCACGTCATCGCTTCGTGCTCCACCGACCCCATTTCTATCTCACCTTATTTTTCTCCCAATCAGAGAGGCTTGGGAAGAGTACCTGCTTGGCTGCTCAACACTCCTTGGTGAGGCACGCTCGAGCACTGGCCAACTCCATTGGCCTCCCAGAATAGGGTCTTGCCACTCAAACATGCGATATGCCGCAACTCTCTGGTACATTTTCTGTAAGAAAATGTTTTCTACCACCAACAACATTTGCGTTGCTCGGGTGGGCTCGCCTCCACGTCGTGTGAGGTGGCTACATCCGGCATATCATCAGCGGCGTTCAATGCCAGAAGAATGGCAGGGAACAGTGTGGTGCTCGTCGCTGCCATGGCACTAACCGTGACGAGTTGCGCGATCGTACACCGCTGGACCATGGTGCTATCCGTTTATTTGCACGTGGAGCCCGCAAAAATGTCCGAAAAGTAGGAGATCATCCTTGCACTCACTGGAGTGATATCCATGTCACACGGAGCTGGTATAGCACCCTTGAACATCTCAGGTGCCGATATGTTTCGAGCATGAGGTTATTGCCACGGGAAGCATGAGCAGCGTCACCGGGCAACAGGAGGCTGCGCGCCGTCTTAATGGCAGCAGGATAAACCTGCCCCACCAAGGAGGCTCGGATGCCGTCCTCAAATGGTGGAGTAGGTCCTACTGGCTGCAGTAGGGTCTTGGTGTTCATGAGCAAGAAAGCATGGACGGCGTTCCTCAGATGCGGAGACCCTGCTGCCGATGACCCACGAATGCAGATGGCTTCAGCCGGAAGGTTTCGTAGTCGGACTGCGCCATAGCAAGAAATTCTGACACAGCGATAACACGCGATCCTGGGCCAGCTGTTCTTTTTTTAGCTTTGCCTTCTTTCGCTTCACCCAGCTTGCTCCTCGCGCACTGGAGACCCAAATATATATATAGTGCGCCGACCATAGCAGAAAGGAAGAGGACAAGGACGATCGGGTGTGCACGATGTGGCACGTGGCAGCGGCTGTCAGTGGGCAGTTGCGGCCCGGCCGGGTTCCGGTCATAAAGAAGGGTCCTGGTCTGGCTCCGCATTTTCTCTGCGGGGTTCTAGGCCGAGTGGTCTCGAAAACCCCTACGATATATATATATGTATATATATATATATATCTATATCTATCTATCAATCTATATATATATATATAAATATATATATATATATATATATATATATATATATATATATCTGTGGTGTGTGTGTGTGTGTGTGTGTGTGTGTGTGTGTGTGTGTGTGTGTGTGTGTGTGTGTGGCCGATTAGGTTGCTGCAAATGCATGAAATAGGCAGTGAATAATTCGTTTTTAATATTTCACACAGTAAGAGTACACAGGCTCTACATCCATTAATAGAATATTTCTAGCAATACCATCGCACAACAGTGTGGCAAAACATTTGCGTGTGAGTGATGTTTGGCTACAAATGCGTGGCTACACGAACGACTCAAGTGCGTGGTCCGCTGCTCTGTCTTTGTCTTTTTTGAAATAAATTTTACTTCAATTTCTATCTCCAGCATGTACAAACGATGAAGTAAGGTACTGGTAGAATGTATTGTGAGACAATTTGAAAAATATCCTTACTTTTAACAGCCACTAGAATGGTGGTTCGAGGACCACTATCGAATAGTGAACATTTCATGCGAAGGCCGCGGGGGAATAGTATACTATTAAATTCGGTGTTCACTGAAAGTGCGCATAGTTTACAATCTCTTTCTGGTCAGTGGGACGAGTAGAAACAAGGCCAGAAATGTTTTTGCTGGTGGGGCCCACCTGTTAAGCCTTAAAAAACACGTACTTTTAAGTAATTTCTTCTGCAAAACACACCCTTACATATATATATATATATATATATATATATATATATATATATATATATATATATATATATATATATATATATATATATAAGGGAAAGAAGTGTATACCTAAGGGCTCGTTTTCCGTGTTTTTTAACACAATAATAATGAGATATAACAGACAGTAATGCCAAGGAATGTACAGGGGAAGTTATTAACATTAATGGAATGTAAATAAGAAGAAAGAAAAGTGGATGAAAAAATTACCAACTGTAAGCAGGAATCGAACCTACGACCTTGTTTATATATATATATATATATATATATTTGAGGGAAAGGACGGGTGCTTAGCCCCCCTCCCTACCTTACCTTGGCTATGGGCCTGGTAGGAACGCTCGTATTACGAAGCAAGGCCAGCGTACGCAAGCTGCAACTCTGGTGTTTCAACAGTTTCAACCTAGTGTGCAATAGAGCACATCTTCAAGACAAAAGGGCTACGTTCCTACTGACTACTGGCTACGTTCCTCCTGACGTGGAGCGTAGCCAGGTGCATATTCGTAGCAAAACACGAGATACTTCCTTGTAATCGACAAGATAAATCTGTATGGAGCGTGGCTATAGAGCTTAATTATGGCGGGTCCTCTATAACCTGTATGAGCGCCACATAGAGCTTATGCATGCTAGAAGATTTGTCCTTGTCTTATGCGCTCAATGAAAAAGGGAACTCTCACTTTTTGGTTTGGCAATTCAAGAAACAAAAAGTGCACAATTCATGTGAAAGTTCGCGGCAGCAAAAAAAAAATTGTGCTATCCTTCTCTATTACAAGGCGTCTGAAGCGTGGTTGCTTCCTTTTGGTTTGTTTTGCCTTACAGAACGCTTTTTGCTAGTATTCATCAGAGTATATATAACACTTGTGTGTCACTCTTCGCAGGCATCCAGTATTTTGGGGTCCACGGAAACGGGTCGTTTTCCTATCGGCAGTAGCAGTTGAAATGGAAGTCCGGAAAAATGATGGGTAATTATAATATACTTATCTGAATTGCGGCCATTGAAATTGAGCTCGGAAAAGTTAACGAGGCAATAACGTCATTACTAATGACGTAACCTAAAGTATTATTCAGATTATTCACACTTCAAATTGGCAACCTAAATACACTAGCTTCGAGTGAAATATTCCAAAATTGGCGAAAGAAACAATGCTATTTGTTTTTCAAACGGCGTTACTCCTATGCCCTTTATCGTGTCTGCACTTACCAGCCCTGACTGATAAGCGTTTGCTCATTCTCTTAAACCCAAAATCACTTCGTTCGTTGAACATGCATTGGCATAGCATAAAAGTTATGGGAAGACTATGGTTATGTTTCAGAATCATGAGCGGTGGCACTATCGTATCTCCTTTTTTCCTTGCAAGTGTCACTTGCGCCGCAAATATTTTGTTAAGCTATGCAGCAACTCGCCCAACGTCACACGCTGCTAAAGCACTTTCAATGGCTGGGCTGGTCAGGTCACCATAAGGGGCTTAAAATTTTCTATGAATGAGTCAATTGAAATTAAAATGAGTGGCTTCAAATTTTCTATGAATGAGTGAATTTTCTATGAATGAGGGCAACCTCATCTTGCTGGGTTAGATACCAATCGGGATGCACCAATTACGCACAATGAAATTACAAAGCACTTTTACCTGGAACGCCCCATTTTTCCACCTCCACATCCGAAACTTAACCGACCGCAGGCATTAACCCTACGCCTATTGCAGACACACACGTACCCAAACGTTGCCACGCTTCACGTTTATTATCCCGATGCGTACCCCAGCGACACATGCCCACCATGTGGACACACAGCGACACTCGCACACATGCTCTGGGAGTGTAGAAGAACTCCTCCCGACTCTACCTCAAGAAAGTGGGAGAGGTCCCTCAGGAGCTCACTTCTCGCCGACCAGCAATGGGCCATCCAGCAGGCCCACGAAGCGGCCGCCAGGCACTCCCTGTCGGTCCCTACGTGGGAGACGCCCGCTACGCGCTAAGCGCGTCCTGCAGGACTGAAATAAAGTTTTTTCATTCCATTCCAATGAGTGAATATTCACGAAACCAAACCTCCGCCACCACCTATGCCAAATTCTCAAATCAAAATAATAAAAGCTGCAGGACAGTAGGCAGTGCTTTGCACGAAATCACGTTCCGACAAGGCGATGTGCATACATGCAAATGTATGCCTGTCGCTATTGGACTTGCTATGCCATGTCTTTTTGTTGTTGTTGTTGTTGTTTGGCGTTCTCGAGTGTTGCCGAGCGTGGCACTTTACCAACTCGTGGTTGCTGAGAGAGTGTGAGAAAAAGATCCCCCCTCCCCCGCTGGCACCGTTCCAGGACAAGGACGGACGAATGGTTGGTAGCCGCGAGCATGAACCCTTAAAGGCTTTCTCCTTAAAAATTTCTAACGCGAATCACAGGGCTCCGAGAAAGAAAATACGAACGGTACGGGTGCTACTATAACAAGCTCAGTGAAAGCGATCGTTTGACGTACTACATCTCGTCCGGTCCTGTAAATTATGACGAAAAGAAAAGTTCGCCATAGAAACATTAACAGGCATTAGTTTTGTTATCTTGCAAGTATTTATTGTTATATATAGATAGCGCTAGCTAAATTTTGCCAGAGTTGAAAATATGCTGACGCACTCTATGACGACCCGACCAAATAAATGTTGCTGACGGCACCATTTATTGAGTCAAAGTATTGTTGCGTTCTGCTTACTTGCTTAATTAGGCAAGATTAATAATCCAGCTCTTGATACAACGAAGCTAGGCAGAAGACACAAAAGGACAGAGCGCTCTGTCCTTTTGTGTCGGTCTGCTCGGCCGTTTCTTCTTCCCCGTAATGCGCTATACAAGTTCAAGTACGACGAACCAACTTGCCCAATCTTCAACACTCGAGGTGCGCTATCGCAATTCTACCACCATTGTCCCTATCCTGTCAGCTTTTGAGCAGCAACACAACCGACGAAATGTCATGGTAGTTTGCACGCGGAACGTTAGGAAGTGCTGCAATCACGGCGCGCATAAGCGCGCAAGCGAGCAAGTAACGTGTTTTTTTTTGTATTTTGCGGGCCTATGCAGTAAACAGATAATCACTCATGCTAAGTATCTACAAAGTTAGAAACAGTCTGATCGGACATTTTGCAAACCAATCTAGAAATTTTCGCTGGAAACTTCTGCCTAGCTTCGTTTTATCAAGAGCTGGATTATTAATCTTGCCTAATTAAGCAAGTAAGCAGAACGCAACAATACTTTGACTCAATAAATGGTGCCATCAGCAACATTTATTTGGTCGGGTCGTCATAGAGTGCGTCAGCATATTTTCAACTCTGGCAAAATTTAGCTAGCGCTATCTATATATAACAATAAATACTTGCAAGATAACAAAACTAATGCCTGTTAATGTTTCCATGGCGAACTTTTCTTTTCGTCATAATTTACAGGACCGGACGAGATGTAGTACGTCAAACGATCGCTTTCACTGAGCTTGTTATAGTAGCACCCGTACCGTTCGTATTTTCTTTCTCGGAGCCCTGTGATTCGCGTTAGAAATTTTTAAGGAGAAAGCCTTTAAGGGTTCATGCTCGCGGCTACCAACCATTCGTCCGTCCTTGTCCTGGAACGGTGCCAGCGGGGGAGGGGGGATCTTTTTCTCACACTCTCTCAGCAACCACGAGTTGGTAAAGTGCCACGCTCGGCAACACTCGAGAACGCCAAACAACAGCAACAACAACAAAAAGACATGGCATAGCAAGTCCAATAGCGACAGGCATACATTTGCATGTATGCACATTGCCTTGTCGGAACGTGATTTCGTGCAAAGCACTGCCTACTGTCCTGGAGCTTTTATTATTTTGATTTGAGAATTTGGCATAGGTGGTGGCGGAGGTTTGGTTTTGTGAATATTTACTCATTGGAATGGAATGAAAAAACTTTATTTCAGTCCTGCAGGACGCGCTTAGCGCGTAGCGGGCGTCTCCCACGTAGGGACCGACAGGGAGTACCTGGCGGCCGCTTCGTGGGCCTGCTGGACGGCCCATTGCTGGTCGGCGAGAAGTGAGCTCCTGAGGGACCTCTCCCACTTTCTTGAGGTAGAGTCGGGAGGAGTTCTTCTACACTCCCAGAGCATGTGTGCGAGTGTCGCTGTGTGTCCACATGGTGGGCATGTGTCGCTGGGGTACGCATCGGGATAATAAACGTGAAGCGTGGCAACGTTTGGGTACGTGTGTGTCTGTAATAGGCGTAGGGTTAATGCCTGCGGTCGGTTAAGTTTCGGATGTGGGGGTGGAAAATGGGGCGTTCTAGGTAAAAGTGCTTTGTAATTTCATTGTACGTAATTGGTGCATCCCGATTGGTATCTAACCCAGCAAGATGAGGTTGGCCTCATTCATAGAAAATTCACTCATTCATAGAAAATTTTAAGCCACTCATTTTAATTTTAATTCACTCATTCATGAAAATTTTAAGCCCCTTATGGTGACCTGACCAGCCCAGCCATTGAAAGTGCTTTAGCAGCGTGTGACGTTGGGCGAGTTGCTGCATAGCTTAACAAAATATTTGCGGCGCAAGTGGGGGAGACTATAGGGGGAGACTATCGTGTTTTTAGCGTTATCAGCAAGATAGCGCAGTGAGCGCGCGGCGGCTTTCATCTCTCCCGCGTATACTTTGGCCCGCGCATAGAATAAGGGGGGTTTACGCTCAATCGCGCACCCTTATCTTGCAGTGGGGAAAATCGTACGTCTTGGCTAGCATTTGAATTCCGTAGGAACGATTCTGTTGTAGTTACCGGGCGCACAGAGGTCACTGCAACCGTTGCACATCCTCTGTTTGCGAAAAGGGCGCGCTTTTCAGACACAGCGAAGTAACAACTGAGGCGCTTATTCGCGTTAATCTGTACCTGTGAGTACGTTTCGTGCGTCTTTTGTGCGTGAGAATAGGCGGGGCGCGTTTAAATTTTATTGTCGCTATGCGCGTGACCTTCCAATTTTATGCTATTGGGTTCACTGCTTCCCATTTGCGGCAAAGCTGTGACTTTTTTTCTTTTAATGTGATAGCGTTAAAGAACTTGTTTCGCGGAAATTCCGGCGTCGGCGTCGGTATGGGCATTACTGGTTGTGAGTGAAAAATCTTGTTGTCCATGACCGAATAATCAAGGAAGATGCCAATCAAATAAATAATAAAAATTCGCCGGCCCGAGTGAGGATTGAATCAAGGCAGTTTGCGTGGCAAGCAGATGTTGGTTCTACGCAGGCACGCGTCTGCCTTAAAATGCAGTGGAAATAACTGTCATGCTTTTAAAACACACGAGTTCTGCATACAGGCTTCACAACACATGTAATATCGCAGTAATGTTGCATGGTACAAACGTACATTGCTATCGGGCGTCACAACATGTGATTATCATGTCGACTTTGTAGTTTAAAGATGGCCATATTTGTACAAAAGACAGGCGCGTTACTGAGCGTATTCCTTCAAGACCACGTGGTGGGTGTGTAGCAAGTTCGAAAACATTTCACATGCGTGATAACTGCTCGTGGTTTAAAGCATGCTACCGATTACACAGAATGCAGCCATATCCGAAAGCTTCACTAATGCAAGACACTTCAAGCTTTATTGCTTGCATTGTGGTAATCTACAATCAAACTTCTCGAGTAACACCATACAGTAAAAAGCATATATAGTAAGCTCATATCAGAACAGCGCAAAGACGATTAGCGAAGAAATAGTGAACGACGCGAGCACTGGCTGACTGCTGGTTCCTTCATTTATTTTATGCATTGAGTGGTTCAAGTACGCATAGGGACAGGATATCGCTATCACGTTCAGCTATTAAAGGCGAAACTTCAGAATTCCGCCCCCCCCTTTTTTTTTGCTTCGATGGTATCTGTAGTAAGCAGAAAAAGAAAACAATTAATACTAAAAAGTTCAAAACTGAGAAACTGTCTAATCTGTCGTTCTCTAAACTGATCTACAACTTGGTCATTAAAAGTTCTTGCCCGGCTTCGTTGCATCCAAAGTTGGCTAATCAATCTTGCTTAAGTAAGCAAAAAATAAGCGGAACACAAAAAATACGTTGTGCTAATCTATGCAATAGTCCGCAATATGTATTCAGTGACGTCGTCTTGGAGTGCGTCACCCTATTTTTAAACTCCGGGGCTCCAAGTCTGTTCCGTGAATGTATCCGACCGGAGCTGTCTAGTCTTGCAGAATGTAAGACCACGCAAATTTCTGACCGCAGCGGCGGCTGAGAACCCTGTATGTTGCATCTCAAAAACAGTTTACTTCGCACATTTACCACTAAAAAGCGAGAGACCAGATGCAGTTCATTGCGAGAAACAAGTCATCGTTCTACTTTCATTTTAGCGACCACTGAAAAAGTTTATATTCGTTCGGATTCAACCATAATGTCGATAGGAAGGTAGTGCTGCGGTGAAACATGACCCCCCCCCCCCCCTCTCAATACCGCTCATATCGGAGGGCCATGTGCAGGCCTATGCACTTTATCCTACACTGACGTGTAGCTCGTGCATGAGTTAGCTTGTGCGCAAAGGAACATTCTTCACTAAACATTTATTAATAATGGGCACCGCGTTCTCTTCAACAGCAACACCGAAGGCATACTGCGGCAGTTCAACTTGGCTTGCAGCTCTTTTAAGAATTGGGTAAGTGTTCTGTGCATTTGCCCATCGGTATGTGGTGCTACGTATAGCAATACACAATCCGTGGCTTCATTTTTTTTTCTTTCATTCATATGCTTAGACGTCTCGGGTTCCTCGAGAAGTGATCGAGGACGCCTTCCCAAACATCGATCCTCCTCAGGACGCGCTCGGTCTTCTCAGGCTCATCAAACGCTGCACGTTGGATTTCGACTCAATGTAAGAGCGTTCATTACTCTCAATTTGCTAACTTCAGTTTATTAGTTTTCAATACGCAACGTTCTCAAGTGAAGTAAAGGTGCTTCAGACACAAATTTTGGATATGCGTTAAAATCATAACTTGGACCTGCATTTGGAAATTTAAAATACTGCATACTATCTCACAAGACTACGCACTAGATCTTTAACTGAACTTAAATATTAGCGTATAGTTTTTGTTACGCCTACCCTTTCTACTCACACAAAGCCAGCACGTGCATGATACTTACTGCTTGCCAATCACACTTATCACAATGTCATACAATGATACATATGTACTACCAGTTATGGCCTGACTACGTTAAATGCTTAGCACATAAGTTCATCTTAAGGAAATTCACCGTCATTTTTAATGTGAGAGCCATTTTGTTCGCTATTTTGCATCATTTACTTCAATTAGTTCGCTCTTATTGGCTTAGGTTGGCAAAAAATATGGAGCTAATATACTCAGTCAATAAATATTGCCAATTTCTCTCCTCGTGTTTTGTTATCAACCCGTTTTACTGTCAGTAATTCTCAGCGCAAACCACGCCGACACTGTTCGAGAAGCTTCGGTACGGCAGTAGATCATTTTGTTAAAATTACGCCCACTTCGTGAACAGTGCAGTTTATTCTGTAACCCGACAACGCTAGAATATTCAGTGGCAAGTGTGCAAGTGCCGACACGACTCGCCACTTGTCAGTTGATCGACGGCCGACGCTCTGTTCACTGCTATCAGTATCAGTGTGTCGCTGTAATCTTACTTTCCTTTTACGTGGCCACAGGTTAGGCCGAATATATAGATTACTCTTCACAGTACTGTCGGCTCCCCTTCGTCGACGTAATGACCCCGTGACATCTGGTGGAGCTGCTTACCGTCCCATGTACCGAACACCACCCTGCAGCCATGAGCCAAGCCCACATCGTGAAGAGGACGTTGAAGCCAACCTTGATCAGTGGGCAAGCCGCAGGCAGCGAGGGCTACATGCAGAGTACGGGACACTATCCGATTACAATCGCAAGCCCAAGGCCGCCATCACTACAGCGAGCACTATGACCTCCCGTGTGCCAACAACTGCCACGGTGGTAATGCAGCAGCCGAGAGAGCCACCGACCTGCACTCTAAGCCAAAAGGGAGCAACAGGGGTATAGGGGTTGCTCCTTTCAGGGAGAAATTGCATTGCCACTCCCATTACTCTCCTAAAAGGAGTAACTGCAGAGGGAGGAACCGTTGCTCTCCTTTCAGTTCCTTCTTCGGGGGATGAACAGTTACTCCCTCCAGTACCTCCCTGCAGACCAACAGTTACTCCCACCAGTTGCTCCCTGCGGACCAACCATTACTCCCACCAGTTGCTCTAAGAGCAACAGTTACTCTTTACCGTTCCTCCCACGTGTTTGCAGTTACTCTCTGAAAACCAACTGCACATGCTTCCAGTTACTCCTTGGGGAAATGAGTATTTATCTCGAGTATGCTTGTCACACGCTCAACACATGGCGAGAGCTCCTTGGAAGAGCACTGCTTGGGTGCTTCTAACAGAAAAAGTGGACAATATTGAAAGGAAAATAAATGCTTTATTGTTCTTTTTATGAGGCGACGTGTGAGCACACGTAAAAGTAGACTTCGCCACACCAAAGCCAGCACTAAACAAGCACCATAATACATCAAAGGTTTTCTGCGTCATCCCTGGAAAAACAATCTTGAATTTCTAGCATAGGGCAGTCTGTGTCATCATTGGTGAGAGAAGGGCAACTTCTCCAATTCTGAAGAACTCAAGTTTCGCAGCTGGTGTTTCCATCAGGCTAGCGCAGCAGAATGTCACCGCAGGCATATGTGAAGCATCTCATTGCTGCAAGAAAAAAAATAGAAGTGTGAGGTTAAACATGCCAGAATCAATTCATAACAATGAGTCACACACACTGCAGCAGCGCTTACCTTCTAGGATGTCTACTGCAAAACGAAATGTGAAAAAAAAGGAAGGTTCAGCCAAACGTTACTTGGCAAGCCATATAAATGCTGATGTGGTAGACGCTCTTCACATGATGTTTCAGACAGCAATATTCTGGAAGAAAATGTGCAGCCCCTCAACAAGGCATACTTGTAGCAGTTAAGGATACCTTTAGGTTCAGTTAACTTGTTTCCTATACACAGCTGAGTGACATTTCTATGAGCCCATTCACCAATGGGCATTCTAAGTGAGATCATGTGTGTGGCAAATAACACGTACCGTCCGCTCATGTTAAAATACTTATTTAGCTCGTGCACATAGTTGCTCTCGATTCTACTGTTCTATCATACGCTGCTGCGTCTTGAATTGTGCAATACCTGTAGGCACAAGCCAAGCATGCAAAGCCTGCTTGAAAGCAACCATTTGCAGAGGCTACATGATAATCTTCAGTATATTTCTTTGTACCTGACGCAAACGGCTGGACAAAACTATAGACAAAAAATGTAGACCATGCTACCTTCAAAAAATGCTTTAAATTTAGTAAACTAGGGTGCATTTGTTCACTCGGTTGTCGAGTCACAGCCACGAGATATGTGAACGAAGCAATATATCTTAAGGCATGCACAGATATTCTGATTCTTTGTTTGACAGTGTCACAGATAGCTTGCCAATACATATATATTTGAGAGCAACAAGATGTGAAGCTTTTATTAGTTCAACGTCTTGTTGGTTCACAGCCAAACAGGTTACTGCTTTGTTAGACAAATTGAAATAAGCGCACCGTGGTTTCCAAAAAAAAAGCATTATTAGAAGTTAGCTCCCGGTGCGAATGTCTGCCTATTTATTTTGTACTGCCTTCTACATGTGCCACAAAGACATTTGTTGAGGATGTGCTACCAGTCAAGCCAAGATTGCATACTTGGTCAATGTGATGGAAATACAAACATTAGAAACACTGCCACCTCTAGTAAGAGCATAACACTTCAGTATCTTGGACTAGCAAGGAGGTGCACAAGAAAGTTAAGCCCACTCTTGCAGAACTTTGAACGCGAATATTTCAGAGTGGGGGAGGTCAACATGCTGTGGCACTTTTAAACCCATGAAACATCTGCAGAAAACAGGGTAAAGGCAAGTCAAGGAACGCTGTTATGAAGGCCTGCGCATGGACAGCTTTGTGAATCTAGGCCCAAGTGTTATGCTTTATGCAAGCCGAAATCCATGTAAATAGGGAAAGCGTACTTTTAGGAGTACCAGCGTAAACAAATCTTGGCAGTTGGCTTTTTAGTACAAACAGCGATCCCTGCAATGAAAACATAAACATTTTATCTTAATGGTAACAGTGTGAGCACACACACGGGCCAGCGGAGCCATGTCAAATTGTCAGTGCCAGTGTAACCATGTGGAATGATGAACTATTCTCTGGCCAACACATGCACAGTTTGCCCCTAAAAAGCGATGCTTTCATATACGTAGTACAAAAAGTCTGCACTTACCAAAATTCACTTGCTTTCTGTACTTTAGCATCGTTGGGAGCATCTTTATCATCAGTATAACCAAATTTGTGTCATATCCCTGAAAAAAAAAGCAGTAAAAGACATGCATCAAATATTGTTTCATTTGGTAGCAGTGAAGTCAGGTTAAGAACAGCCAAGTGGGAATCAGCCTAATTATGTGCATGCGGCAAATCCCAAACGGCGTTATTGAGGTTGTCGAAATTTTCGTCGGTTGGTATTAACGTCGATATGTGACTTCAACGGCATGCCAAGTTTTCACAGCGCATAAAGATTTCATGATGCAGAATAATGAAAACGCTAACGAGAACATACAGCATTTATCATTGTCTTTTACAATATTCAGTTTTGCTAAGGTTTTGCATCACTAAAGAAATCTGAAAGATTTGAGCCATTCCTCCTCCAATTGTTCTGTCCATATGATCGTCAATTTGGGCTCCGTACGCCCGGCCTAAAAAAATTCTGTGCGCAACTGCCTGGCTATGCCAGTGAAGTGATGCGACAATGATTTGTTCACTTACTGATTTACATACACTTTACAGCTCTAAAAAATGCGGCCCAAGGCCCCAACACTCAGCCGTTAACATTACATAAAGCCAATGGTAGAAAAGTGCCAGTATGAATGCAGCTACAACCCCACCCCAATGTTTTTTCAAGCGAGGTAGTGTTGCGGAAATGAACTTTTAACTGCAAAAGTACACTGGCACTGCAGTGGTGACAGGGGAAGCAAGAGGGTATGCAGGCGGTAATAGAGGTAACTTAGTCCGATACGGCTAGCAATGGATACGGTGAATAAGAGCAAATCATTTCTCTTTCAATAGCGCAACCACTCAACAATGTATTGTAAGAGCATTAAATGTTGCTGGAAATGCCACTCACCTGCACGCTGATGCATGCACAGTCCTTTGTCCGACGAGCGAACAGGCTTGCAGATAGCTGAAGACGTGTTTACGATGTGTTTGTTCCACCCAGCAGCAAAATCCACAACTACTTCGCGCTTCATAAAGATAAATATACACTAACCTTCATCACGAATAAGTAGAAACGCAAATATGTGACACACACACACGATCAAAACATAGCTCACAAGCTCGCACGTCCATGTGCTCGCCGACCACAGACCCTATGAATATGAGTAGTGCGAACGCGAACCTAGTTGCGCCGAAAAAAAAACGTCGAGCAGTGGCAGCACAGGCGTCAGCGCAGCGATTGCAGTGTGTTCTCCTAATACATTTATAAAAAAAAAACTGAGGTACACTAAAGCTCATAATTAAATATAAAAAATTGAGTGCAATTTTTATTTAGTGCTAGTAAACATAAACACTGAATAAAAATTACTTTGTAACTTGCATCGTTTGCTATACTAGCGCCACAATTGTCGTGCGGGCGCAGATGGCGCAGATTTGTCATTCTGCCCTCAAACTACACGGTGAAGCGTGCTACTAAGTGTATGGCTGATGAGAAGCGCGTCTGGGTCCACTTTTTTTTTTTCTTCTCCGATATATCGGG